AGAGCTGTGTGTCGTAAAAAGTGACTCCCGTGCACATGTGGAGGAGTTACGTCATCACGGCTCGCGAACCCGCAAGAGGGACTAGGAGAAGAAAAGAGGGACTAGGAGAAGCCCAGTTAGTGGTGACAGCACAACACTGGAGGGCTTTGTTTTAAGGTAAGTTTCACGTAATGTGCTAGTATGTGATGCATACTAGCACATTATGACATTACCTTGCAGAGGAAAACTTTTTTCGTTTTTGAGAGTTTACTATCACTTTAATGTATTCTTTTATGCATTTTCATTGGTTTTTCATGTGTTATACATGTGCTCCCAATAAAGTCTAGGGAGCTAAATAAGCACAAAAAGAAGTGTCAGCTGTTTCCAAGGCACACAGAAGCGCTTTGCATAGGTGTGAAAGGTCCCCATAGACAATAATGAAACCCTCTTGTGTTGCGTGACGGCCAAAGCACAGCAGATTGCACCTGTGTGAATGGGGACTAAGAAGCAGGAAGGAAAGCATTAACTTATATCTAGCAAATTTGGCCACCTATATGAGTACATGCTTTGCAATAAAAATAATGTAAGTTATTATTCATCCCCTTTCTTTGCCATCTATCATAATATGCTTTTATACTTCTTGTACGCCCAGGAATGGCATTCAGAATTCTGAATCTTCAGGGAACCTGAACACTGGAGAGAACAGGGTGCAAGTTTTGAAGACTCTTCCGGTGAACCTTTCCTTGAACACAGAGACTGTAGAGTCCTCTAAGAGAGAACAATATAACAGCAACTTATCAAACAGTCCTTCTGCCCCTGCTTCCTCTGCCACTGTGGTAAAAGCAGAGGAATTCACACCAGTATTTATGTCACCCTCCGTGCCTTACAGAGGAGACAGCGAGGAACCCAGGAGTGTGATTTTTGAGCAGAGTCACTACGGAGGACATATCAGCCAACATACAGACTACCTCAAAGATGATCAGCGGAGTACTCCAGACAGCACATACAATGAAAGCTTCAAAGAAACTGAAGTAAATATTCAAATAACACCTGTATATATTGATCTTTTAGTAGCGCCTAAACAGATAACAGAAAATAATGTTTAGACCTCTTATCAGTGACCCCTATTGACACTATTTATTAAGGTGTCAAGTGGGTGACCTGTCCCAGAGGCCTAGTGCAACCAATTAGATTCTGCCCTTCATTGTTTTATTCCAACATAGAAGAGTTAATGTATGATATTGACAGCTTGCTTGTGACAAAAGCAACACTATCTTCTTCAAATCCTTGACAAATAAGGCCTTCTGTGGCCTCAGAACGTTTCCAGTTATTCCTTAATTGTGACCACATGATATTCTAAATGTATAGGCCAAGAGTGCTCACCAAATCAAAATTCATCCAGGGTGCATGAGTGGAAATTGTTTTGCCACCTGAAACAAATTACAGCCACAGTGTGGTATGTGGTTGCAACAAGAAAACAAACCCATTATGACCTTTCTGTTACGTGAGTGGGATCCATCACTAAGGGTTGCTGAGATTACACTTGCTTGAAGTTCCTGAAGAGGCAAAGGTTTTGTTGGCATTTCCAATCTAACCATTCCTGTGCCAGTACAGGGAAAGATACACCCACAGAACTGTGACTGTTCCTCTAAGATGTTCAAATATTGCTTCTGTAACTGGACATCCAGAGTCGCTATACACAGCTCCCAACTGTCCCTTATTTGGAACCAAATTAATATAATTAACTCTTTGTGGTCCACATACTTGGGGTAGTGGCAGGGATGTGTTCTTTTCTTACATGCTTTGTACTAAAAGGTCTCACTTTTTCTCATCAAAAAAGGTTGGATGGTATAGGTACATCAGGGAGCTATGTGGAGGTTTAGGCGATGTAGATAGCGAAACACACTTACGTCCACGTCTCATCATCTTGTCCATTGGTAATGATAATGTGGTCAGGGCATACAAGTTACCAAATACAGACACATGGCAGACGTGCACAACAAAAATAAGGCAAATAGCATTACGGCCATGGGCGTAACATCGGGGGTCGCATTTGCAACCTCCAGGGGGCCCATGCGGCCTCCCTGTCATATTCGTGTAGCTGAGTGCTCTGTCCCCTGTCCCTCAGCCACTACACTAGGGCTCAGGTTGGCTGTGCTATGACAGGGAAGAGGTGCAGCTGCGGGTTGTCTGTGTGCTTGCTCCCCGCTCGCTTCCCCTCCTGTCTGCAGTGAGCTCTGTGTAATCCCAGATCACTGAGCAGAACAAGGAGCCAATCAGGAGAGAATCGAGCGGCCTGATGGGACATGCAGTCTCAAGTAGTGGACTGTGCACTGAAGTCCATGGGGCCTGAACTGCACCCTGGTTTTAAAGGAGAAGGGAGCAAGATTTGCCTGGGCAAAAATTCACCAGGACAGTGCAGTGTTTCCAGGGGGAGTTATTGAGAGGAATATGTGGTACAGTCCCCCCCCCAGAGAGACTGAACTGCTGAAAAAAAACACACTGTGTGGGAGAGACAGCAAGAGAACCATGTTGCCGAGCCACTGTCGGGATATGGACCTTGCTGCACTGCCTACTGGCAACCCAGAGTGAGCGGACACCTAACTGAAGAAACCACTGCTGCTGTGTTGCTCGGTCTGGTGAAAGGATCTTGCAACCACTACTTGCTACCACCACTAGGGAATTAGCCATTAGGATCTACCTATCCAGCTACCTTAGCTATAGTATCTGTGGCGGAATTACCAGGGTTGCAAAGTTTGCACTTGCACCCAGGCCCTGGCGTTCCGCCACTGTGAGAGAAACCCAAGAGACCAGGAAAGGAGTCTGTTGCAGAGCATGCCAGGGACAGATCCCTTCCCCTACCCCCATTTTCAGCAGTGATCAGGCAGCTCCCACTGGAGTACTGATCATCCCCAAGGTGGAGCCTGCTGCAAGGTTTGCAGTGATTGAGGGGGATTTGGAGAGGGGGCGCTGCTGGCCTCAATGGTGATCGCACAATGTGGGGAAAGAAGGTGTGATGTTATGAGAGGCTTAGGATACAGAGCAGGCCGGACAGAGGTATTTGCTGTGGTGGCTACTTAGTGGAGATAGTAGATCCAAGGGGAAACACATAATAACCCTTTGATTCCTAGAAGATCCCTGGTGACTGGACACAATTCACCCTTTCATTGTCAGCAGATGAGATCCCAATTGGAATTGCATGATTAACCCTTTCAGATCTGTGTTGGAAATGTATGATTAACCGTTTCATTGCTATCAAATCCCTGGTGAAAATATCATGCCTTTCCACTAGGGATCTGTTTGCAATGAAAGAGTTAATCATGCACTTCCAACTGGGATCTGATCTGCCAGCAATAAATGGGTTAAAGTGGAACTTCACTCTCTCAGTCAAAAAACTATTATTAATCCTTATGCTGCTAGCATTAGTAAATAGATAGGAAGGTATATTGTATTTACTTGTTTTAAACTTTTTTTTGTTTTTACATTTCTTCAGTTACTTCCTGTTTTCTAGGCCTAGGCAAATAATGTCATACATCCCAGGAGTCTTTAGGAGGGGAGGATGGGTTATTTCAGCTAAGCACACCATCCTGCATGCTTGCCTGAGTTAAGGACAGGTAGATTCCAGGAAGTAACTGATACATGAACTATCTGCCCTTACTCAAGATGGTCACAGTCAGACATTCTGGAGGGGTGATTTTCAAAGTGATTTCTCAGCAAAATAAAACATGGAGACATCGATGGATGGGGGAACTTTCTTTGATTATTAAAAATGAATTAAATAGCATTTTTGGTACTCACGTGCAGTGTAGTTCCACTTTAATCGTGTCCAGTTGCCAGGGACCTTCTAGAAATAAAAGTTTAATTTCTAGAAGATCCCTGGTGACTGGACACAATTAACCCTTTCATTGCTGGCAAATGTTTTTTTGAAGGGAGCTCTTCATGGCTTCTTGCACTGGGGCCCTGAAGATTCTAGTTACACCTCTGACTGCAGTACAACATCATGTGTTGTGAAGGTGACAGTATCAGGTCAAATGGCTATGGCAAGCAGTGTGCCCATGAGTGGGGGAACCAAAAGTTGCGCTAAAGCTAAAACCAGAATGTTTCATTTGCTCAGGGGTCCTCTGCTGTCACTAATCACAGAAATACTCATAAAGCTATGGGCCCCTAAAGCATACTAACTGCTTACAGCATTAAAATGACATTTTGCTCTTTTGTGATACTGCTACAAGACATACTCCAGGCACCTAATGAAGGCTGGTTATACATGAAGGTATATATATTCATGGTTAGGAGACTAAAATCAATGTGCATGGCCAAGTAAGAGTATGAGCCCCATGAATGTAACTGAGTTCAGTTACCTTTTATGGATTATAAGTCTTGGGTATGCCAAAAGGCAGGCTCTCCTTCAAGATATCTTGTCTCCATTCCTGCCCAGACAACTTTTTTCATTCAGCCTTGTGATAGACAGTATGGTCACATGATCAAGCTGTCCTGCTGAAGTAGGTTGTGTAGCTAATATTTTAGAAGGCAGTTGGATGCAAGTTGGAACTGCAGGTCTCATATCATTGGACAAGGATTGGTGTCTGAGCAGGCTTTATCTGCCAGCATGTGCTGGATCATTGCAATATACATAATGTTGGGTGCCATAGAGGTATTCACTGCACATATGTGAAACAGATATATACTATATAGCAATTAAAAAGACATAAATCTAATTATACTTTTATTTCCTTCTGTTTTAGAAATACCGCGGCTCCTCTGTGACGGAGGAATTCTTGTACGATCAAACATCCAGGTAATATACATGCATGCATATATATTTTGCTGTGGCAATGAACTGTAAGAAATGTCAATGGTCTTGCAGTAAACACGGCTCGTAAAGTTTGTTGAATGCAAAGATGTATGTAAGATTGTGGCCGTCAGATGCAATGATATAAATAAGTTGTTGCTTTTCCCACAGCACATTTCAGTATACTCTAGAAGCTACGAAATCTCTTCGGCAAAAACAAGGCGAAGGACCAATGACTTACTTGAACAAAGGCCAGTTTTATGCCGTCACCCTAAGCGAAACTGGAACCAATAAGTGTTTCAGGCACCCTATCTCAAAAGTTCGGGTAAGAAATGTTATGGTTGATCAATATTTTATATTATTTTTAGCATTCACAGTTTTTACAGCTACTTATTCAGTATACCGTTGTCAATTTACTCAGCACTTTACACATTGTACAGTCACAGTAGTCCCTGCTCTCATGGAGCTTACAATTTAAGGTCTATAACTCACATTCATGCATATACAAACTAGGGCCTATTTATGCTCGGTTCACACTAGTGCCGCCTGTGTGGCCCATGTTTGCTCAGAGACAGCAGCCCATTTATTTGAATGGGGTTCAGATCCATGTAAACTACAGAAAAAGAGTGCACCCACTGTTTTAAAAACGTGGCCGCAGGGAAACGGCATGTTCCTTTTTACCATGCAGTTCTCGCACCCCAAGATCATACTGCAGGCTGAGATGCTTAGGGGTTTCAGAATGCAAGAAGAGCGTGATTCAGATGCAGGTAGTTGCCTCGATGTAATTCCTGCCCCCAGCAGCCTAGCCTCAGACAGGAGACAATTAACCTACCTACATGTCTTTGGAGGAAATCCACACAGGGACAGAGAGAACATGCAAACTCTGTGCAGGCAGTGCCTTGGTTGGATTCAAACCAATGACCCCAGTACCTCCAGACAGAAGTGCTAACCACTTAGCCAGTGTGCTTCCCAATTTTTTCAATGTTATCCCACACTGATAAGGGTACATAGATTAGGCTGATGATATTCACATACGTATCTGTAAAAAAAAAACCTTGAAAACACTATATTATGATTATTAAACACTGCATGATCAAAGCACCATATGGTCGAAATATTCCCCCTCCAACATTTTGCACTCAGGTACACAAAGCCAAGTCCATAAAGACATGATTTGATGAGTTTGGTGTGGAGGAACTTGAGCGGTCTCTACAGAGGCTTGACCACAACCCTACAACCCTACATCTGTTGGGATGAAATGGAAAGCTGATTGTTAACCAGGTCATCTTGTCCAACATCGATACCTGGCCTCACAAATGCTTCTTTGGCTAAAAGGGTATATGCTGTATACTCATAGAAAAACGGCTGAATCTTGTGCAAAGCCTTCCCAGAAGAATAAAGGCTGTTATGGGGTGCTAGCTTCTTCCAGAATCAATTCATACATTTTGTCTTCCTGAGATCAGTTGAGAGGGGATTGTTTGCAGAAGTCATAATGCATGTGTAATAAAAAATATTTACATTAAAAAAAAAAAGTATTTTAAAGCATATGCCAGAGCATAAAAAAGTACAACTCTGCAAAACATTTCCATGTTTTATCCTTTTAAAGGCCCTAAATATATATATAAAAAAAATACCTGCCGATCTGCCAGAAATGCACTCAGCTTCTAATTTCCTGTTGTGGCCTGACAGCACTTGTCTTTTTCCGGATCACAATCAAAAGAATTGGTGTCAGCCCTGCCCAGTTGTCTTTTGTCAAACTACATGATCTCTCCCACTCTCCTAAACTCCACAATATACAGAATAATTGCTCTATAGTCCAAGATAAGAACTTGTGGGGGCTAATTAACCCTTAACCTCTTCCCGTCCGCCTGCTGTTTATAAACGGCAGGGCGGTGGCAGTCCAAGGTCGGGTTGCCGTTCCTAAACGGCACCCGCCTTTTCTAGCTGTGCGCGCTCCCTAGGAGCGCGCACCACCGCGATCCGGTGTCCGCTGTGTCCTCCGGACACAGTGAAACACCGATCGTCGGACGGGACCTCTGTACGAGGTCCCGGTCATGTGATCACTGATTGGCCAATCAGTGATCACATGCAAAGTAGTGAGCAAGATGTCACTTGTGACATCATTGCTTACTACGTGTGAAATCTGTGAATGATCACAGAGGTCACATGGTACAAGGCTATTCACAACAGCCTTGTACCATGTGACAAGCTGTGACCAATCACAGCTCACTCAGTATTTCTCAATGACTGCAAGAATGCAGACAGAGAGAAAGAGAAATGATTGCTTTTACATCCTATATGGGTGTAAAAGCAATCAGTGTAAAAAAAAAAAAAAAAAAAATCTTCATCACCCCCCACAAGTAGTACAGTGTCACCATGGTGACACTGTACTGCTAGGGTGACAGTATGTAAAAATAAAAAATAAAAATAAAAAATAATATAAAAAAATAAAATAAAAATGTAAAAAAAAATGTTTAAAAATTATAATGTTTGGTTATAAACTAATTTGGATTTTTTTTTTTTACTAAAAAAATAACGGAATAAATTTTGGCCAAGATTTAGGATGAAATATTATTTATTTGCAAAATTTTATAAAAAAAAACACTTTTTTTCAAAATTTTTGGACATTTCATTTACATAGTAAAAAAAATAAAAATCCCAGCGGTGAATAAATACCACCAAAATAAAGCTTTATCTGTCTCAAAAAAATGGTAAAAAATTCATATGGGTACAGTATTGCATGACCGCGCAATTGTCATTCAAAGTGTGATAGCGCTGAAAGCTGAAAATTGCCCTGGACAGGAAGGGGGTAAAAGTGTCCGGACAGGAAGTGGTTAAAATAACACTGGAAGTGTGCACAGGACCCAGGACAGCTTTACATTTATGACATGATCAACGTTTGCTTTTTTTTTTTTTTTTTTTTGCAATTATCAAACCACGATAACAATTGCTTTCAATGGTACATTTAACAGAACAAAAAAGAGAAGTTCATTGTAAGGCTGGCCATACATTATACAATTTTCTTATTAAATTTTCTTTAGATTTACCTTCAACTATGTAGTGCGAGGGCTTCCCTGGTTGCAAAAAAATGAAAAGTGTTAAGGTTTGACCTCATATTATATGGTTTTGGTAAATCTAAAGGAAAATTGTACAAGAAAATTGTATAATGCATGGCCAGCTTTATGGTTTACATATACTTTTAGCAACTGGGTCTTCAGAACACCTTCTTATAACTACAGCTAACATATGGGGCACAAATAACCTCAGAAAATAATGTTGGGGTATCAACTGTAGATGCAAGGTTAGTTGCCTGGGTTAAGTTTCATCCGCCCTACCCCCCACTGTGTGAACAGAAATAGGCCTAGATTCCCATCTTACAACAAGTGTAAAGATCATACAATATGCATTAAACAGCATACGTGTCTGCCACATGTCCGAAAGACCTTTAAACAGAATGTTAATTTCATATAAAGCAACAGATGACTATTGTATGTGGAAAAACAAAGGATCTGTAAAGGACAACAGGGAAGGAAGGAGAGTACATAAAGATAATGAAATCAGAATAAATAAAAAAAATCACCTATACTGAATTATGAAAGAAATGTTTTGAGGTTGTTGCTCCAATTTCTCTAGGTACTGCTAGTGGAAAGTTTGCAGTTAAAATTCTCTTTGTAACCATTGCTGTTACAATGGCAGCTACAGATGTTTAAGTTACCCCTCGAGGCTACTTTTTTAGATGAGCTGAATGGACAATGTATGACAGCCATATATTTCACAGATGATAGTGTTTCCATTGCCAGATGGAATTATGGGTAGTAGAATAGTAAGAAACTCATGCTGAGTGGCAACCTAAATTGCACCTCTTGCTGTCAAGATGGATGCCTGTAGGCACAGGTGTACTGAGAAGTAGCTGAGTAGGTCAATGTCTTTGAACACGGGAAAGTGTTTTATTAAAGTATCTCACATATCAAAAGTGTCCTATTGTCAAAAATCTGTACCATTTAAATAAATATTGATCCTCATAATGCTCCAGACAAATGGCTAAATATTGATTCTCTTAAAGCTCCTGACAAAAAGCTTAACACACAATTTAAACAAATATGCATTTACTGAGTTACCTGCTAAAGGATTTGTAATTTAGTACAGTCAGTCTTGTGATTTATAACTCCATCATGCAGTGACCAGTGCGACATGCCCCACAGTGTACATAGCTCACTCCCCTGTATCCATGCTACTTCAGTGAACATATCTCAGTATCCTCACCACTACTGATATGTGCACTGTGGTGCACACTGTTCAATCAGGGACGTATTTACCACAAGGCACTTGCCTAGGGTGGCATTTTTCAGGGGGGCAGCACCTCCCCTCAGAAGAAGGGATGAAAGAAGGGAAACGTGTGCCATGGGAACCAGGTGGGAACCAAGAGAGGTTGCAGGCTGCTTAATGGTGTTTGTAGAGCCTGACTCCTGTTCACAGGGATGTCCGGTTTTGAAGATGAGTCTTTCTCCCTCTCTCCGGGAAGTAGTGGGGGGCAGGGGTGTTGCTGGTCAATGTCAGACTCTCTCCGCAGGAGGGGGAAGGGGGGGGTGGTGTTGGTCGGTGTCCGTTGGGGAAGATGATTTTTGTGTTGCCTAGGGCAGCACAAAGCCTAAATACACTGCTGTGTTCACCCCCATTTACTGTGCCACCAAGGAGATCTTCGTTCTAGCCCATGCCCAAGTATCTATGGCAACAGTGAGATTTGCACTCCAACACACACCCTCATAGCACTCTCTATTAAACATCACCCAAAGGATTTCCTTACAAATTTGACAGGATCCAACCATCAGTTGGCAATATTATTATTATGAAGGCAGCTGACCAGTGAATCTTGCATAATCCATAATACAATCTTGCCAAGTCCAATAATAAAAGTACAGTAGACCAGGGGCGGACTGACCAATCGAGCACTCGGGCACTGCCCGAGGGCCCGGGGTCAGTAGGGGGCCTCATGAAATGCCCATGGTACCTTTTATAGGCTTTTTTTGAGTGTGGGCGAGGACATAGGGGCCCCATGATCCCCTATTGCCCAGGGGCCCCATGAGTTCTCAGTCCGCCTCTGCATTAGACTTGTTTTCAGTTATTTCGACATATCTGTCAGTGATTTTTCATAAATCACTTGGTATCACATTTCTACCTATTGATCCAACTTCCTGTTTCCCACCTTACTGTGGCTTTGACCTGGAAATAAAGCAACAAAACATGATGGTGCTGCTAATGTTTTTTTACACTTCTACTGCTATAGCTGCAAGTGATGTTTGATAGCCAGATTATGCAGCATGGCACAGAATGACAAGAACTGTAACAGTATTTCTCCCTATCTGCTTTCTCAAGTGTAGGTGGTGCTCAGCCAGAGCGGTGCTGTAGTTGGAGAGGAAGTTAGGAAAAACCTGGTTTCTCTATGGTTTCTTGGCCCCTGGAGGCAGCGTTCCAGTTGGCTATGCTGCATCCAGGTGACCCCGGTGGCCATCTTGGACTTTTTAAGTGCCTACCCCCAGGCTTTGGCACGCTTTTTGGGAGAGTGGACAGTGTCGGGAAAGAGTTCCTGTCTATCAGGAAAAGTGATTAGTGGCAGTTAGAGGTTCCAGATGAGTGGTTACAGGCTAGGGACACGCCATCCTGCATTGGAATCCTCCTCCTATTGTGCTCAGACAGGCCAGGCCGCATTCTGTCCTCGGAGACAGAAGCTGTTGGTGCATCTTACCCATACCATACCTCAAGCTGCACAAAACTGTGAATGTTCCCCAGTGTGGCGCTCTCCTGCTTGTTAGTTTGTACACTTGGTCCATCTCTTCAATACAAGCCTTGGTATTTTCAACTGGACTTTGTGTGTTTACTGCCGCCACACCACGATGCACCTACCTACACATAGACAATGGAACCTTGACTTTAGGAAGCTGAATGTCAGATCTTGTTTTCTGATGTGCCCAGTTATGACATTACTCTGCAAGTTGTTGTGGTCTTCCAAACCGGTGTCATCTGCATGCATAATACATAAATAGATAAAATACATACATAATATTTTGAGGTTAATATGCAAATATGAGAATAAATTAGAAGTGAAAAATATACAATGCATTTCCAATTTTTTAAGAATGCTAGATTGGGAGTTAAGTTAGGTCTAAAATGGACATAGTAGGGTTTGACTTTCCTTCCAAAAGAAACTCTAGCTTGGCCAAAAAGCTGTAGGTATGGACAACACTGACACTGAGATTGAACTTTTTCCTTTGCTATTCTCTCTATTTATGACCCACAAATATTGGAGGGGCAAAAAGAACACTTTATCCAGGAGTACAGTACAGAATGAGAACGCATGATTGATGCACATGAAATGGACATGAATTGTGTACATTTGGATACTCATGATGTGAAAATTAAAAAAAGAGAAGAACATGGGGAAAAGAACAACCACAGTCTGAGGGAGGATGAGCTCATACATCTTTATATAAGGGTTGTTTGCCACATCACCTCTTGTAGCTGCAATGTGTATGTGTGTAGCAGCATCCGAATACTGACTGCTTCCCTTGGAGCATCATAAGTGCTATTTATAAGAGCTTGGCCAAGGGTTGTTTGTCTTAATACAATAGTCAGGTACCATGATGAATAGGAAACATTTTAATACATTTGCAAAAGCAGCCAATGTGGACTGCTGTAGCATTGGTTAAGGTACTGTATATCATGGGCCATGATGTTCAGGGAGAGACTGGAAAAAGAAAAATATGATTGACTGCTTACATTCGTACTAACAAGCAAAATGCACTTACCCACCAGCCTCCCCATCGTCATTACTCCTTGGTGGAATTTCACCGCCAGGTTGGACCTCCTCAAAATTAAAGTATTATGACATCTCCCAGGAAAGCCACAGTTGACACTGAGAATATGCAAACATACATACAAATGGAAATGTATGTGATTTCTTTACATCTCATCCTGTTGATGTGGTGCAGTAGGTACATGAGTTAGTTAGTTAGTTGCACCAATTGAATGGGGCATCTGGGCTAGGTAGTAAAAAGCCTGTTTGGTATTCAGTGACTCACCATCAAATGTGGGGAAATGGACAGTTATGGAGAGTTTGGGGTTGATTTACTATAGGCAAATAGGCCACATAATTTGTAAGAGAATTTGTCCCAGAGCTTTGTGAATGAGGAGAAGCTCTTCAGACTTCAAACATGTTCAAGCAAAACTGCTTTTTTTATTTACCTTGCACATGAGTGGATATTCTTTGCAAAGTGAAATGGTGTCACCCTCACAATGCTCTGGGGCAAATTCCCTTTCAAAGTGATCAGTCTATTTGCTTTTAGTAAAGCAACCCCATTGTGTTGTAATGCTGCCTTCAATATCTGCTCTAATATGTGGGGAGAAACTGGGTTGGCTAATCTGGAAAGCTTGTGCTGTTGCTGGCTGGAATGAGTTATTGCCTACAAAATGTTGGCCTAGCAGTCCTCCATTTTTGTTTGTAGCTGCAAATGCTCCCTTCCAGCCTGGAGCCACTCCTGCACAGTAGGCCAAGACAGGCAATAATTCTTCACCACCCCAGAATCTGGGAGAAAATCAAATGGAAAATTCCGAGTTCAAAGCTAACCTCAGAGAAGAAACCAGATCAGATTTAGCTGGCATTGGCTGCTACTCTCTCCTGCCAAAAGCAGTAACACTGTAGTTGTATCAATAGGAAAAAACAAAAAAGGCATTCTCAAACAGTCCCAGTGCTAGTGGGTCACTTGCCTACAGAATGATAAATGGTCAAATTTCACCAGTTTACCAGCCATAAATCACTTTTAAGGCAAAATTCACAAACCAGGCAAATAGTTAAAATGTAAGCTTGGCAAATATCTTTAAAATGTTGAATACATTTCCATTGATTGTGCATTCTCTGAGTGATAAATAGGTTGAATATAGTAGTTTTCCTGTTGAAGAACAGATGTAGGCAAATCTCACCTGATGCCATTTTTCACATTGGTGAATCTTGTTTGATGTAAAATTTGGATTGGAGAATTTTGCTGGAAAATGGATGAAAACAGAGTCAATGTGGAAAATGTAATCTTGATAAAAAATGAGCGACTCTTGACAAAACATTGGGTGAAAATAATGATAATTAGACTTCTTAGTGTCTCATCTATTACACTAAGTGCTTCATATCTTCATTACACTCAGTGCTTTTTACCTCTCTATTACATGCAGTGCCTCATTTCTCTATATTCCACTCTGAAAAATTGCAAACGTAGTATCCTCCTAGTTCAAAGTAGGCTGCTAGGCAAATTTAGTTGGTTCCACTGTAATCAACAGAGGTTGATTATTTAGGGCTGCTCAGTGTTTCACAGGCTGCTCTCTGTTACTTACCCCTGTCTTATAGAGGATTCTAGAAACATAGTGGGAGAAAGGATAGAGTGGGCAGCCTGAATATTTATAGGACTCCAGCCAATCACTGGGGAGGTGTGCCCAGTAGTGACAAGAAAGCCCATAAAAAGTCTGAGGCCTGAGCACAAGGGTGTGTTGGGGCAGAAGTCACGGAAAAAATTGCCAAGAAGACACTGAGGTCCCAGCTAGGCTTAGCTGGGGGCCTGTTTGTAAGGGGATCAAGTTGGGTCTGGAGAAACTTTCTGGAGAGAAAGAGTCCAGTTGTCCTATGGTGGTGTGAGTCTACATCTCCCTCACTAGGAAAAGCCCAGTGGATATTGGCAGGAGGCAACTGATGATCCTGTGACTATCTGAGTAATCGACTGCAGTGCTGAAGAGTAGTGACTGTGTGTAGCTTTTCATTATGGAAGGAGTAGAGATCACCATCAGTGCAGAGATTCTTTGGGATGTTCTTTTTTCTATAGTGCAGCCAAAAGTCGAGAAGTCCTCCAGTTGTTCAGTTCTATAGTTTACCAGGGTATCCCATGCTCCCTGTCCCTATTCAAATTCATTGTTCCAAAAAAAAAGCCAAAATGGAACCCCTAGACAGCTCTTTGGAACCAGTGGAATAGTGCAGAAAATGCTGTGTGCCTTGCTGTTTGTGCTCTAAGGGGGAATTAGGACCAAATTCAGTAGCGCCTCTTTGGTTGTAGGCTATAGAAACAATGGTTCAGCTCCCTAAGGTGCAAAATGTGAGGTAGGGCCTAAAAGCAAAAGGGTTAAAACAGCAAGAGCCTATTATGAGGAGTTTATCATGCATAAAATTAATTCCAAAGACTCTTTTCAGGAAGTTGAAAAACATTTAGAATGTTATCTCATCTACAGAAACAGAACAATAGAAATAATGTCCCATCATCTACGCTCGCCAGGATTGATACTAATCGCTTTTTGTTGCGTGCACACTGCAAAACCCATTCTGGTACATGGCTCTGACAGTCAGTTATTTGCATTGTGCCATTGATTGTTTCCATTGGTTTTATCTTTTCAGAGCGTGATCATGGTTGTGTTCAGTGAGGACAAGAACCGCGATGAACAATTGAAATACTGGAAGTACTGGCACTCGCGGCAGCACACTGCAAAGCAGCGCGTCCTAGATATTGGTAATTATCATTAATAACTGTATAATTTTATATACTGCTTAGGTTTGTATCATTCACATCTAGTATTACCAGAATTAAACTCTAGTATCAGGGGCGGACTGACCATTTGGAAACTTGGGCACTGCCCGAGGGCCCGGGGTCAGTAGGGGGCCCCATGAGATGCCCCTGGTACCTTTTTTAATAGGCTTTTTTGAGTTTGGGCAAGGACACAGGGGCCCCATGATCCCTTATTGCCTGGGGGCCCCATGAGTTGTCAGTCCGCCCCTGTCTAGTATTGATCTGTGCACTGGGGAGTGCAATTATTCCACCACCTGCTAAAATAATACCAGTCGTATGATAAACTATCCAGAGAGTTTACTGTTTTCAAACAGACTGAGCAGCAGATTAATAGAACTACACACGTGTAGGAACCTGTTTTTTTTTTTTTTTTTTTAAAGACACATTGATACAATTATTTGCACGATATAAATATATCCTCAAATAATCATGTGGATTTATCACCTACAAGCTATGTAATGTATAATGTAATTAGATGGACAGCATACTCAGAATAGGAAGGGATAAAGGGTGAAATGTGTGTCTGGCTTGCTTATACTAAATTAAAGCGGTATTAAACCCCAAACCAAAAATTTTATTTATTTTATTTATTGCAGCTTACCGATCATTAGATGCAGTGGTTGCATCAGTCTGGGAGGAGGGAATTGTTAGGTGTACTAGCAGGTTTAGATACACTAACACATTGAAGCCAAACTCTAGCTAACACATTTTAGGTAGTTACAGCAACAATTTTGGAAAAAAGGTTTTAAATAAATGAATAAAAGCTGATCATTGTAAGCAGTTAGTGTTAAAGTGTTACTAAACCCATGACCCTGCATTCACTATATCTGGTCTCCCACAGTACACGGAACATGGAAATGCAATTATTTTAGTAAATATAAACTGCTACATACCTGTTTTTATCAGTAGTTAGAGCAGTTTTGTGACTTCTATCAGTGTTCAGCAGAGCACTGGGTAAAGCTTGTAGGAGGAGTTTTCATTCTTCCCTGATTGCCAAATGAGGCTGCATAACCCCTGACCCTCTGTCTGGCCAGCACTGATTTGCTGATCACATGCACTCTCCAAAGACAAAAAAAAATCTTGCATTACATACCAAACTGAGCATGTGCAGCCTGCCCCCAAGGCTCTGTTCTATTAGTAGTTGGATTGGGGACAATAAAAGAAGGGGAGGATCAGAGAAGATGGGATCAAACTGTCTTTTTATGCAATGCAGAGGATTAACCCCTTAGGTTGCACAGTGAGTATAACAAAATGCTTACTGCATATACAGACTGATTTTACTGTTGTGGGTTTAGTAACACTTTAAATGGCTTGTCTTAACCCTCTAAACCTCTACATCTGCAGAACAGCTTGTTCTGTTGAACAACAAACTTACTGGCCAGATCACCAGGTGTAAATAAAAGAAAGAAAACCTAAAATAGAAAACGAATGCAGAATTGGTAAGCTGCAATGTAATAAATGCACAATATAAATGCTTTTGGGTTTAATACCACTTTAAAGTGACCGCACACTATACACATATTGGCTGATTTATCAGGAAATTTGCTTTGTGTCAGCTATTGAAGGAGTCGGACTTAAATGTTTTTGACGCCGCTGCTGTTCAGGTATTCTGGTACAATAGGCACAGTGGGAGATTCATCCATCTACACTATATAGCAGGGGTGGCGAACAAGTTAGACACAAAGAGCCAAAATGTTAAACTGTGAATGTCAGAGAGCCACACCACTCAGTGACCTACCAAAACAGACAAACACTCACACAAAAACACATAATTAAAACCATATTATTCACCATAACACTTTATTCCCCTTACAAAACACAGGGATGACCAGAGACTGCGGACAGCACAGGGATGACCAGAGACTGCGGACAGCACAGGGAATGACCAGAGACTGCGGACAGCACAGGGATGACCAAAGACTGCGGACAGCACAGGGATGACCAGAGACTGCGGACAGCACAGGGATGACCAGAGACTGCGGACAGCACAGGGATGACCAGAGACTGCGGACAGCACAGGGATGACCAGAGACTGCGGACAGCACAGGGATGACCAGAGACTGCGGACAGCACAGGGGATGACCAGAGATGCGGACAGTACAGATGACTGCTTTGGGGAGGTGGGGAGCGGGTACCTGAATTTGACAGGTACCCGCTCTTACTTCCGCAGAGTTTTTGTTTGATCTTACCTGTTCCTCGATCCAGCCGCGCGCTGTCTTCCCGGCTTCTGTAATGGTGCTCGGCATGACAGCCGGGTGCCCAGTGCGCATGAGCGAGAAGCACTTGCGCTTTGTGATTGGTCCGGCGGCTTCTGGGATCTGTCATGTGTCCCAGGTACCGCCTTACCATTCACAAAAAGCACCGCTTCTTGCGCATGCGCACTTGGCACCCGGCTGTCATGCCCAGTGCCCACACTACAGAAGCCGGAAGACAGCGCGCCGCTGGATAGAGGAACAGGTAAGATCAAAGAAGTAAGAGCAAAGAGCCGCATTCATTTTGGCCGGGAGCCGCATGCGGCTCGAGAGCCGCGTGTTCGCCACCCCTGCTATATAGCATGAATGGAGGAATCTGTTAGATTTCTTTCATTCAGCCCACAGGTGAAGCAAAAGAAAGCTGAGAACATATGGCCAGCATTACGGTCAGCTTGGTAAAGGTTCCCCTTGTAATGTCCGCTGGCCTCTCCTCTCGGTGTAAAAACAGAGAAATTGCACTTTGCACCAGCCTGATGCAGACCAGGCAATTGAAAGAGCAGACTCTTCACAAAAAAAATAAAACACATGTAGACCCTGTATTATACCACATTCTAGCTCATTTCAGTCAAAAAGAAAAATTGGCTGAGGGGCCCATGAGTACTTTCCCATATTGTAGCCTCTTTATTATAGGTACATAGTTAGTCTGGCTGAAAAAAGACAAAAGTCCATCCAATTCAACCATAGAAAAAAAAAGAAAAGCTATAATCCTATACCCACAGTTGATCCAGAGGAAGGCCAAAAAAACCCAGCAAAGCATGATCCAATTTGCTCCTGCTGGGAAAAAAATTCCTTCCTGATCCCCCGAGAGGCAATCGGATATTCTCTGGATCAACTTTACCTATAAATGTTAGTATCCAGTTATATTCTGTGTATCTAAGAAAGAATCCAGGCCTTTTTAAAGCAATCCACTGAGCTGACCAGAACCAACTCTTAACTATATTATTTATTATTATTATTATTATTATTATTATACAGGATTTATATAGTGCCAACAGTTTGCACAGCACTGTACAATATAAAGGGAGACAGTACAATTGCAATACATTTCAGTACAGAAGGATCTTACTATATTTAGTGACAACAATTCACCGAGTGCATTACATATATATTGTGCATTTGTAATATATTGTGCATTCACATCAGTCCCTGCCCTCAGGTATATTCATACATATACTAGCGCTACCAGCATGTCTTTGGGAGGAAACCCACACAGGCACAGGTAGAACATGCAAACTCCAGGCAGGTAGCGCAGTGGTTGGGATTCAAACCTATGATCCTAGTGCTGCCAAGCGGAAGGGCTAACCACACTGTAAGCCTTGGTGCATTGCACTTGAAAAGCATAAAAAAATGGATTGCAAATTGGACTGGTTAATAATAAAATATATATAATGTATCTCCTAGATTGTTAGCTCGAAAGAGCAGGGCCCTCGAACCCCTCGTGAATTGTTTGTTGCTGTATTGTCTCATGTACTCTCCTAGATTGTAAGCTCGAAAGAGCAGGGACTCTCGATCCCCTCATGTTCTGCATTGTATGGGTATTGTTCTGTCACATGTTCTGTCCCCCTTTGTAATGTACAGCGCTGAGCAAACTATCGGCGCTTTATAAATACTGTATAATAATAATAATAATAATGTTCTGTCCCCCACTATAATGTACAGCGCTGAGCAAACCTTTTTGGCGCTATATAAATACTGTATAATAATAATATTATAATGGAAAAGGATGGTCGGCATAGTCACAAAAGGAAGGGGTTGGGGAAGTGGAGTGTTTGCCTGGATTTGCTCGTACTTAATTACGGTCAGTTTGGTATAGGCATCACTTGGTGTATGTGCTGTCCCCCCTCCCCCACTCATAGTGACAATTGATAAATTGGCCTGAGCATACTGACTATGCACCAGTCCCATGCGGACCAGGCAGTTGACTTAGTACACTTGAAAAGAATAAAAGATGGATGATAAATCAATGTTCTTTACTTAGACTGGTTCAGTTTGGTTGGTTTCATAAAGCCTCCTAAATACATAAAGTCTTGTGTGTTAGGGGTCAGAGCTGCGTTATGTGCTGAACCACACCTTTATGTGATGTTGAAGAGCAGCCCTTACCGTTACCGTTCCCAGTTCTCTGTTTCATTGTCACCCCACCGTATCCCATCAGGTGCATGCTAATTGTAAATCTGTCTTCCAAAGCTTCTCCGGTGTCAGGGCTATAGAACAACAAACAACACAATATACAATATAATTCATCATCAGAGGCACTACCAAAGGACCGCTTTTACAGGTTTATTTATTGGTTCAGTGCTGTGACTATATACATTGTGCAACCTGGAATCATCTTTTAACTGATCTTACCACAGAATACTCAAATCTAATTGGCTGAAATTACTTTCTGTGCTTTACACACAAAAATGGTTATTTGAAGCCCTTTGTTTTAATAGCCTATTAAAAAGTACAGCAATTTAGAAACTCCACAAATGTAATCTCCAAACACGAAAACGTTTCTTCACAGTAAGAGCTGTGAAAATGTGGAATAGACTCCCTCAAGAGTTGGTTCTGGCCAGCTCAGTGGATTGCTTCAAAAAAGTCCTGGATTCTTTCCTAGATACACAGAATATAACTGGATACTAACATTTATAGGTAAAGTTGATCCAGGGAATATCTGATTGCCTCTCGGGGGATCAGGAAGGAATTTTTTTC